TTCGAACGGACGGTTGACCCTGCTTCAGCCCTTCAGGCCGCCTTCGGCATCGTGAGGGAACTGTGAGGAATGTCTCAGAATCCTCTTTCTCCAAATGGACCCCCGACCTCACAGTGCAATGCCAACTTGCCACGTTCTGAGGGAGATAGCCAGTACCACGAATACTCACCCAGCCATACTTGAACAAACAAAAGTATCAAAAGAGACAGAAGTTGTGAGACAACCCAATAGATGAGACGTACGCCACCTGATGTGTCTTTGGATGCTGATTTCAAAATGGTCTTCAGTATTTGCTAAGCGACAATGTGAAAAACATGTGACACACATGACATGTGAAAAAATGTTTTTTGTCACATGGCAGGATGGACAAACGATTAGCAAAGCGGGGGGCCAGCGACGTCGAGGGATCGGATCCGCTCGGCTTTTCTGGGTTTTTTGAAACCTCAATGGGATTTTGGAACATATTACTCGTTGCACCCCAACAGTGACGTCTATATAATTTGTCAAACTTTGAGGAGTGCAAATGCCCCGTTTAAATCCATTGTTCACGTCCATAACATGAGAGCGGAGAAGCTCATAAATATCCTGGTTTCTAAAAGTCTTCATAGAGCTGGTGCTGAGTCCAACACTATCACCAGTTGGCGATCGAAACGACGCGTCAAGATTCGAGAAGAGCTAATCTACTTGAACTCACACAGGGATTCTCGAGAAAGAGGAATGCGCTCCAGCGTTAACATTCCCGGCTTGAACTATTATACTTTCTCGGTGTGAGTCGCTCACTATGTGGTAACCTTCGCACGTTCATCACAGGACTCGCACAAAGTTGATTTTCTGCACAACCCTCCCTCGAGGTTCTATCGCTATTGATGTAGCTTTTGCGATTTTAAATTGCTTCGCCTATCCTTCGTAAGCTGAATTGTAAGCCTGAGCCTGATGCTGAAATTGGCGACATCAATGCGTTTTTGCAAGTAATGATCTGAACGCGAGTAGAATCTCTCCGAAACATAAGTACGCCCTTAAAAGGCTCAAGCCTTTGCGGGGTTTTGACAGTTCCCGTCTCTGAGTGTGTAAAAACATTAATATATTACGTAGAGACAAGGAGAACCCGGAGTGCTGAGTAATCCCCAATTTTCTCCGGTGATCTTCCGATGATCACGAGTTTTTTCAAATTCGAGGGTGCAAAAGCTAAGATATTGGGGAAATTCATGCTTTCCCCAGAAATCGCTGAATATTCCTTGATTTGGGATGGTGCATAATATCGTAGCGTTTTTCATTTCGAGCTACGAATTCAATGAATACAGGTATTAGCCCAGGAAATCACATATATCATTTAAAGTACTTCTTCCTAAATTTTCAAAGACGTGGTTAGATCTAGTGGTGACTAATGAACTTCCTGTAACCAAAGAAGCTAATAATTACAGGTGCGCCTGCCCTGCTTTTGTTATGGAAATGCTAAAGTCACGCTGAAATTATTCAGATAAGTTCGGCATCGCTTCACTTTTTTCTTACTCGCGTAAACGGGAGGGGGAAATCTGCTGTTTCGTAGGCTTTATGTAACAATGTGGAACTTACCCCTCTCCTACTTTTCATTGGTTATTCTGTATTCGGGGAATGAGAGAGTCAACGCAAGGTTATTCGTGGTGATATTTATCTCATTTGAGTGCGGGGTTTTAATATCTTATGTCATGATTTTAATATCTTATGTCAAGGTGTCGAGAAGTGGTGCTCTTTTGTAGAGCTTTTCGATTAAGCTTTTTTCTTGGTGGGTGCACTAGAATACTTGTTTGATAGTTTGCAGTTCAGTTTGACCATGATGCATGAACTCTGCATGGATCATTCAAGATGTAGAAATGGAATTTCTAGGGTTTTCTAACATGAAATTCGGCCATCCGGTAAGAAGGAGGGGGGACATCGTATGAAATAATAGCTTTTTTGCTGAGGAGGAAAAATCCGAGGCGGGTGTAAAAGTTTGAGAGAAATGGTTCACGCGCCCCGGGGTACCCCCCCCTTGTAACAATCGGAATCACTGTAGCCCACAAAAAGAGTGTAGCACCACGTATCCCCTCACCGTATGAGTGTCTAAAATCTCCTTTCCATTGAGGACAGCACAATGGAGACATCTTTATTAAAAACAATAACAATATAGAGAAATGCTAGGGCTCGATTCAGAGTTCGGGGTAGAGCTCGTCGTAGTGGCGCGTTGATCGCCGAGCCTTCGTGAACAGCGCCCAGCATTTCATCTAAACATAAAGCAATTACAAACATACCAAATTTTGAATGTGATTGTATGGAACTTACAATAGACCATATACTGAAGGCCAATATGAAGAGTCCTGCCGCTGTTTGTGCAAACAGCACGAGCTCCTTGAGCTGGAAGTCGCGGCGGACCTCCGCCTCATCAACCTCACTTGCGAACAAAACCTCGAGCATTATCGAATCTAAACACTAAATCCAATGAATATGTAAAAACAGCGATTGAAATATGTAAGTTGCAATTGAAGCGATGTCAATAGCAGCAGACAGTTATTTGTAGAGGAGATGAAATGTATAAAGCTCAGAATATAGATTACAAAAGTAGTATAAGGACCTTAACAGAACAGTGGTGTGAATGAGTAAGTGCTAGTGAGGTAATGAAGAGAAGTTGACCTTATAAACAAGCGCCTCCTAATCGTCGCACATGAGTCTCCCCAGGTGTCATTTGCTGTTGCATGCGACTGTCCCGAGGTGGCACACCTGTGCTGTTGCGAAACACTCATAGTGTGGAAATGGACAGCCAATTGTAAGTGTTGGCTCGGAATTCTTACGGTATGAAATAGTTCCAGAACTCCTCATACATTCATTCGGTATGAAATAGTTCCAGAACTCCTCATACATTCATCCTTCCAGAACTCCTCATACAAACCCGAGGAGTGTTATAGTTAGGTATTATGTTGATTTGCGTCCACACTGGGAAAACCTGGAAAAAGAGACCAGAAGAGAAGGCAAGGCAATCATGAAAGTCGACAAATTACGCAGGTATGACTATAAAGCTGAACCTTTTACTGTTTCTTAGCTTTTATTTCTAAGTCATTATGTGAAGATTTCTCCACAACTTCCTCCCGAAGTTTCTTTTTTTTTGCTCCGTTTTGCTTCTTTTTGAATTCTGTGTAGGGTGTGAGGTGTGTTTTTGGGTATGTTCGTTGAGAGCACTCGTTGTTCTCTTTGGATGTTGATCGTGAAATTCATGTTGCGGTGCCGCGCGTGCAGAAGCTTAAACTTGCAAAATAGTTTTGTGCGCGATATCGTAGCGTTCTTATTCTGCTCAAGGATAACAACGGTGTTGACTTGTGTTAAGGCTCTCATTCAATTTGCATCTCTCTAGGTCATTTTCCTTCACGTGCATCAGATTGTTTTAGTGCCAGGATTATGAAATTTTTTGAATCGTGGTAGCACCGTTTGACAACGGTTGTCTACCAGCAGTAGTCAAATGGTTAAGTGAGTGTCCTTCCCTACAAATCCTGTTGATTAGCGCTGGATCTCCCTGTAACACCGAAAACTGGTGAGGGAATAACAGTGACACGGTTTTAAACGGAATTCATTTGGATTATCATTGTGCTTTAGTTTAATTTTCAATATTTTGATCTCTAGGGACAATGACTGTTCTTTTAAACTCTTCTTTTAAGTGAAACTGTCTTAAGTTAAGTGAAACTTCAAAACTGTTCTTTTAGGTGACAAAGGGCGCATCCCATATTGACGAGCAGAATTTACTGGAGAAGATTTCGCGAATGTCCATATTCTTTGATCCACGTACTGGTCAATCTACCTTCAGTGTTAAGGCAGTTATGCAGCCGCATAACATGAAAAGCATTCTACAGATCATCAAAGGCAAGTAGATGGCTAAGTTTCATTCGTTCTGTGTCACAATTTTGAGCTGGGGTTTTCAAGGTCTGTATGTTAGAACAACGTGTAGTAGAAAGAGGACTTTCCCAATTGGAAATCTTGCCGCTGCAACGAATGCATTGAAGTTAGTGGTGTTTTTGAAAATTCGCCATTTGCGAAGCGAATGTCGCATAGGATACTATACATGATACCCTTGCAGACTCCGAACTTCTGATGGTGTGCAATGCACGATCGAGCAGTACTTTAAGAAACAATACAACGTACAGTTGAAGTACGTGCTGTTTTGCTTTGTTGCCTTTCATGCTCTGAAAACAACGAATTTATTACTCTTGAACCAATCACGAAAAGTCTCAATTGTAGGTACCCTGGGCTCTTCACAGTTTCGGAAAGGCATAATCCGCACAATTACTACCCAGTGGAACTCCTCACCGTGGCGCCATCACAGAGGTTAACCCTTCAGCAACAAACATCTGATCAAGTGGCCTCAATGATCAAGGTAAATATTGAGAGTTTACAAGTGGGTTGTATAACTTGATGGTATCAATAATTCTCCAACTGGACTATATAATTTTATGGTCGCAATAATGTTCATGTGTGAAGTTTTGGCCAGAATATCCTACAAATTTTTTGTGCTTGTATTTCACTGTGATAGCTGCTCGATATCGGTGTTGTGCGCTAGGACGGAAGGCCACTTCTCCGCGTTTTACAGCGCGAAACTTTTATCGCTTAGGTCCTCCATTCATCATAAGTGGACTTGGAGTTTCCGGAGCGAAAAGAGTTTTGCGCTAAGTAACCGTAGCGAAAAGAGTTTAGCGTTAAGTGAAGCGGAAAAGTCGCTTCTCTAGCAAACCACACCCCTCGATATCTTCAGTTTGTTGTGCGTCTGCTGAGGAAAGCTTTTTGAGGTCACAAGCTGAAAAGGGAAATGTGGAAAATGATTCCTCAAAATTTATTTATTACTTTATGAAATATTTTCACATTTTTCTTTCCTGGTTGGGAAAACACATAATCCAAAGGGATTCCCTCTCCTACTCCTCTGAAAAATGTGCATATTTGATTGATGGTCATGAAGGAGAACGAGCTCACCATTAGTCTGATTTCAAGGAGCCTAACGTTTGGCGATGAAAGAGACCTATCGAACTATGCACTGCTACTATGGAGTGTCCGACTTAGATAATTTGTTTAACTCATTGCAATTTCAGTGTCAATACCCAAGTTGCCGACGTGTGATAACCGGTAACGTATCATTCGTCTGCCATCTTTGGGCGCACATAGCAACGTGGAAGGAATATGATCCGAAATCGCCTTCATTTCCAATACTCAGCGACAGTTCTATCTCCACGGCACCGTCTAAAAGAAACGACGTTGATATCCTATCGACTTGCCCGAGCTGTACTGCTCGATTTCACACTCCATACTTAATGCAGGTGTTTGATAGAAACATTTTTCTCTTGCTGTTTTCTTTATGATTACTTCCCACTTTTATAAAGTGTGTGCAATTGAGTGGTTTTTCTATACTCATAAATATTTTTTAGTGATTAGGTGAATGTTTTAAGGTGCACTATGCACGATGTCATTCCCGACAACCCCAAGCTGTAAACCGAGCAGCTATCTGCGAAAGAGATGTCCGCTCCGATGTAAGTTGTTATGAGGTATGAACCTTCCTTAATTTGTGGGCAATTCTGTTCTTCTAGGTTGGAGCTGCAAATGCACTGCGCACTCATCTACTAACGCATGAGCCAAACGATGCCCCTTACCACTGCAAACGATGTCGCTATCGGTGCACAGTTCGAATGCACTTGTTTGATCATTTCGTAGTTAACGCAGTCCATAGTTTTACGGGCCGTAAGGCTTGTATCTGACGTACTCGAGTTCAACGATAGTGTAACGCCTTGAGAATGTAATGCCCGTTTCGAAGCATTCTAACGGCCCAGAAGTAGTAAGGGGCATTGTTGTGCAGAACATTCAAGGCTTTCAAACTTCATATTAAGTACCAACATGTTCCCAACAGCGGCACCTTCTTCCAGTACGTGAACAGACGCATGATTGTAATGAATTTTCTG